TTTCACTTTCTTCACTGTCCACCATACAAGCCTTGCACTGCTTGTGACAGACATCAAAACTTGTAGCCTTTGGAAGCAACTAATAACACGAAGACCCTACAAATTCCAGGTCGCGAGCATATTCTTTCGAAGTGAGAGTCGTTTGTACCCCTCATCGCAAATTATGACACTAAACAGAGAGTCTGTGATGTTTGATACTGTGTTCACAGCCTTTGATATCTTCGGTCTTCACTTTAAATGATAGTAGGCTATTAATTAGCCAAAGGTTTATCCTTGCGTTAGCCATTTCTATGAAGACCCAGTTTTCCTTGAAGGTGTTCTCTGAGGCTGCTACCACTGGTTCCGATAATGAGTCCCAGCCGTTGACCAAGCAAACGTGAAGGCCAACACCCCACTGAAAGGTGGTTTTACCTCTGCCCTTAGATTTCGTTCTGAAGGACTGATTTTTCATCTGGTCAACTTTCTTTATTCAAAACTTCTCTCCAGGCCCTCACAATAGACGTTTCGGCATTAGTTCTGTCATCTGGAAGCTTAGGCTTTAAGGTATGACTCACTGTACACCAACTCCCATATGCCATTTGTCTGTGAAACCAGCCACGTAATCATCACACCTTAGGCTCTTCGGAGTGTAGTTTATAGCAGCACTTTGTGAAGCTTCTTGTCCAGCGAATTTCAATCTCCCACTGGGTTAGAATGTGAATAGGTTTGCTGCAAAAGTTGCAGAACTGGGAATCTGCTGCATCACTTCTAGACTACAGATGCTAGCCCAGTAGAAACCTGGGGAAACTGCCTTGTCCGGTCGACCACCGTTGTTTCTAGTACCAACTTTAAAACCGACTCAAACGAAAATTAGCAAAGAATGATGTGGCGGGTTAAATTAGTTCGACGCTACTCTAGGGTTATGGTATCTCACTTTCGTCTTGACTTGCACAAGTCAGCTTCTCCAATGACATTGTGAATTATTTTATCTCCGGTGTTCAAGTTTTGTATTGCTAAATTTTTACTTGTATTAATTATTCCCGTCCAATGGACGCTTACGTCTCAACCGGAATCACACTTCAAGCACACTGGGATGCGCAACACTGCTTATTGAAACTACGAAACGCCCCCAATATTTCTGAATACTCCAAAATACAACCAAGGTTTTGAAAATTTCTAGTGGAACATGAGATAATTTTCTCAACAGGATACTTGCAATGTATGTCTCGTACATTCGAATAGGTTCAAGGGGTTACCACTAATTCTCACTTCGAAAGAATATGCTCGCAGTCTGAAATTGGTAGTTACTTCCAGAGACTGCAAGTTTTAGAATGGTAGTCAACCACTTCGAGTAGCCAGTGTTGCTAGTCACACTGTTCTTTAGTGTAGACTTGCTAGAATCACAGTTGAGTGGTTTCCGGGTTCGGAACCTGCTCCACTTTTGCCTTTGCAATGGAGTGGTATTATAAGCCTTCACACAGTATGGCTTGTATCTGAGTATACATACCTGTACTGAGTCCAGTTATAGTTAATTATATTGAAATTATTAGTGCTCTTTATATGGTGACAGTTTCAACTGTTCTACCGTACGGCGAATTTACTCACGACTGTGTATTTTAGTGAATTCATCTAGAATGATGAGAGAGATGTATAGTATAACCCAGCAACTGCATGCAGGGCTGTGTACTAGGTAGGTAATGAACCAGCCTTATTGTGTACTGGCTAGTACTGCCAGCTGACTGACTAAATCAACGTAGAATCTTGCACACAAGTGCACCGCCTCAAGTTGCCACACTTCACAGTAGTATACAAAAAACATGTATAGAATGGTAGTGGAATCAAAGTAGTGTAGAAGAATAAACAATCTGAAGATAAAGGTTAGTGTGAATATTCAAGCTTAAGATGTGAAAGAGTGAATGCATCTGCACCATTGTGACCGATTTTCAGTCATGTCACCAAGAGTCCTCAACCACTCATTCCCTTCTAGGGGGCCCCAGTCGGGTGATCCACATCTATCCACACAACTCAAGCCATATCAAGGACTTCATGCACTGCTACCACGTCTTGGTCTGACCACCCTGAACCAACTAATCGCACTTCCACTAGCATGGTACGTCGAAGTAGGCGGTGGGTTGACATAAGCAACGCATCCAAGCCCTGTCAGTCGACTAATATTCAGAACACCAATTGACTTGTTTATCTTGCCTAGTACTTTTCACCGGACCTAGATGCCTTTCAAGACGCCTTTCCACTTGGCTCAGCTTCCCTACTTGAGTGTTAAAATCATCTGTCACTATAACTACATCTGACCGCTTTGCTTTCTGTAGCAAAGTTGACAGCTTCTCACACAACTCATCCTTTGCATCACCCGAATTGTAGTCAGCGGCGACGATTATGAATAGACATCGCCTAGTCTCACAACGCTTCCTAATTTTTACAGACCCATCCAATCGAATAGTACAAAAACGGCTGTCGGCTGGTATCCAGTTGAGGTGTGCACTTTCCGCTCTACAAGTCAGGGCTTCTCCTACGTCAGCAAGTCCACGACCCTGCCATGTCGCACGGTGTTAGCTGAAGAAGGATCAGGATGGAAAAAGTAATGAAGTGGTAAGAGTAAAGTATAGTATCAGTTTATTGAATTCATGATTGTTGACCCGAGCCGTGTAGGGTATATGTAGACTTCTCAGTTGAAGTCCGAGGGAAAAAAGAAACCCGCGGTCACAGACTCTAGGTGATGCTGCTCAGAACCGATCCCAGTGGCACAAATCTATCCCCATTATCTTCATCTTAATCGTCATACAGAATCTCACTACTTGTTTTCTTTTCACGGCTTTTTTTTATCTTTCATCTTGGTCCATTCTCACTTGATATGTCGAGGTGTGGCATCTTAGACCGCTTTATAGTAATGCCATGTTGACATTATCTATCTACAATCAATAACAGCAACTAACACTTTTTGTTATTAGGTGAAGTGGTTTCAGTCTGATGAACAATTTTCGCTGTAAGACTTCCCCCCCCCCCCCCGCAGCCTAAACTCCACGAGAATCAACTTCACACTGATGTAAATAATCTCACAGTCAATCAACAACCCCTAATACACCATTTCAAACGATAAGGAATAAATTTCAGAATTGGAAAATAGCAACTTTCCAGCGTGCAAATAGCTAGTAATACGTAGACGTTGTAAGGCTGTTAACCATCAATCTCAATAACGATATTACATCATAACCCGACCAACCAATCACGTCAAGGTAGACAGTAAGTGAGCATATTAAAAATAACTCACAATATTCGACGACGTAGGTTCACAACCTTATCAATCGATTTAACTCCCTCGATAAAAGCACCCTAACTATCTACCCTTATCATAGTCCATTCTGTGACAACTTACAGGATGTAATCGATCGTTTGTGAATATTGGTAGACAAATTGTGGAAATTAATAATTTCCAGTACATGTTTTTCATAACAGAATATTATTTTAGAATACAAATGCAGAAATGTCAACAACAACAAAAATCGAATGAAATATGCTACTTAACGATATTATCCACATTGACCAGTGATAAGGTTCGTGAGTTAGATAAATGATTACTTTAAGCAGTTATTTCATTCATTCAGAGCTAATTCATCAACAGGGTACGCAAACGAATTTATTTCAAAGATATCAGATAAAGACGACTAAGTGAGATAAATGTCCAGAACCTATGTTATTATGACTTTACTAAAGAAGGTTGAAAATAATAAACACCAATGGTTCTCAATTTTTGATGTCATTCATCAGTCTACCAAACACCTTTAAATAAAAAGCTATACATCAAAACATTATAAAACGGAGATTTTTTTTCTTTTCTAACCTACCAAACACGCAATAAATAGATCAAGATAGAAAGAAACGAAACTTAAATCAATTCCATAAAATCTGAAAAAAAATACTCATACAATAATTACATAGACAAACGGAGGAGTTGGTTGCTCACTGGTAATCTGTCAGCATTCATGCGTAGTAAAGTTGCACTCATGAACTATAGGATGAAAATGAATTTTATTTTCAGGCAAGAAGTATCTTGCTAAATTCAGTTGAAAACACTTACTTTTTAAGAATATTTGCTTACAGCCTATTTCTGCTAGATATTATAAACAAATCATAAACGCAGAAACTTTTAAAATTAAAATACTTTTTCGTTCGTTTTCTTTTTAAATGACTAGGTAAAACTATTTTTGTACATTAAGCAGCAAATGATATATGACTAATAATGATATAACTTCAATGCAAACTCAACAACTGATTCAATCATATATTTCAAATGGTAGTTAGTCGCGACATAAATAGCTCAAAGATAACACATCCAACTCGCACATTGCACAACAGTTTCAAACACCAAAGGAATACGGTAGACATGTCTACATATAAGTTTCGACTAAAATAAAAATCAGTTTAACGACAGATATTGACTACTGATGAGCCCCTAACATTAGACAAAGATCTTAATAATATCAGCTTGGTGACTGTAATGCACTATTTGGTCAACTGAAGCCTATTGGCACTATGCAGCGAATCGTTATCGCTAATACTGGTAACTGACTCCTGTAAACAGTCAGAAACAAGGGTTTATTAACAATTGAAAAGAAATGATAAAAAGGTTACGAGTAGCACCGAATAGAAAAACAGCCAAAAGGAAGTCTTAAAATAATCCAAAAACAAGTTACAAAAATAAAATTTTTCAGAAAAATGTCACTCGGTAAAAAGCATAAAAATATAACAACAATAACACAACAAGTAGATGAAAGACGTATGCAGAACAGTGTAAAATCACATGTGTACGTAAGTACGAATAAATGACAAGGGAAAACATCACAATATTTTTATGGAAACAACAAATGCTTGATTTCAAACTCTAACACGACAATTAGAACGTCCAGAAAGATGAAACAACATCAAAATCAGCACACAACACAAATTATTTGACACGAAAAAGGTAAGCTGAATTGACACAATTTACACCCGTTGACAAGCCCTACCTTCCGAGCTGAACTTTGGTATTTAACAGCCTTTTTAGTATCGGCTTTGGCGCTTTCTATATAGTCTACTGCTTGTTCTACATTGTATTCAATCCGGTCAATCATTTCACCCTGCAAAAGAAAAAGAGATCAATAAATTTTGTTATTCGCCTGCGTATTTATCGGAGACAGGAAAATGGTAGTAAAACGTTTAGTGAAACATAGTAGATTAATTAAATACAGTACAACAGACTAATGCTACATATTAAGCAGATAATTACATTTTATTCTCAATACTTCAAATAGGAATTTGATGTTTTTGTAAAAAGAGACGATTGCTCAAAAGGTGTTTTTAAACATCAATAACAAGTATTCGCTATCATTTAGAAATAATCGAGACCACTTCCTGAAGAGCTAGTACTTAATAGGAGTGTAGATGTTTACTTGGCAGCAGAGGTAAAACACTAATGATTGAACAACGCAACCGGTACATCTAAAAAAATGAAGTGCGATTAGGCAACTATATAAAGATTTGTATGCTCAGTTACTAGCCACACATTTTCGATAAAACTAAAAGTATTTTACGGAGTTCGGATTGTAAGCGATCGAAACGGAGAAATATAGATCAATATACAGGCAGCAAAAAGGTAAATTAATCGCTTCCAGTCAGTAAAATATGTTAGTTATGCTATAATATAATAATACGGTGCGATCCAAATTACAAATTATTTAAGCAGTTTAGGATGTACTTTAGAGAACTCAAGTGTTTGTTACTCCAACAAAGTCATATACAAAACTAAAGATTATTTCAGTATGAAGAATTTTCAAGATATAATATGATACCAGTCATGGCATCAAGGGACTTTTATATAATAGTTACGGTTTCTCAAAAGAAACTAGTTTTAATAACGACCAGAAATAGGATTCATTACTAAAACTGTGATAAAATACTGAACGTTCGATTCAATCGAACAAAAGTTCTGAAAACGCTAAACAGTTTGTTAAGCCACAAATTCGTCTAAGTGACATACAAGGGTGGTCTATTAAACGCAAGTGAATATGATAGTCCGAAATAACACATCAATACGTCATCCCCACGCGTTTCATTGATGTGAATTGATCTGAACATCATATAATGCATTAGAATTCACTAGTTTATATCAGCCAATTGGGATGAAGACATCAGCGTACGCTCAGAGTAGAACCAAGTGAGTGAAAAAAATTTCCAGACCCAATGACGTGAAATTGTTGATCTATCTCTTCCGTTCAAATGAAATAAGTAGTTGCTAGGTCAGATACTGCTTCTCTTTACACATGAAATTAGGGCTGACTAGGAACGAGTACTTTTCTGAGCACAGTTTTAGAAAGCGACTATCATTTTCGGTTTGCTAAGCTGCCGTTTTGATATCTTGTGAACTGGTGAGAAAGTAGATTTAATGTCTGCATTTTAACGATGGCCTATCAGCTGAGACTGAATCGAAGTGCATTCCGCAACTACATGCACTTTCGTGCATTAGGCTATGAGCTACACCTAATGTATGAAGGCTAATGATACTACCTGGTTGCTCACACCTCGGTAACTGGAGCAGGCTTCGAATTCATGACTAAGTGGTTGAAAATCAACTCCCTAAACCATTGAGCTGCAGATCTATAGTTGAAACTTAATAGAATTTGTAGTCTTGTTAACCACCCTTTTCGTATTTTTATTTGACGTAACATTCAAGTTACTCACCTATTTTGTGATTGTTTTCCAGCTTTCACAGTAACTGATAATCCCTTTATCTGCTAATATCCTTCGCTAATATATTCGTTAAGTACCTGAAACGCTATTTAAATTGCTACATAATTTTAATTCAGAAATTAGCTAAATATACAGTTCGTGCATCTACACTATATGTGTACGTTAATTATTGTGAAATGTCATACTCATAGTTGAAGTTTGACGAGGCTTTAACAAAAATATGTATTTACTAAGAAAATTTCGAATGTCACAATGTCCATAGGTCTAACTTAGTGTCAGTTGACATTTGCACAACGGTTGTTAAAGACTGTATTGAAATATTACGTATTAGATATACTGGCGAAATAGAGACTAAAAATTACACATAAGCAAGCTAACCATAAGATTTTAGAGTACACAACAGTAATGGATATGTGTAATAGAAATATCTGAAATTCCTATTTTCCGGGATAAACACAGGAGAGCGATGTGTGTAAATAAGCAATAAACGATACAGTTCAGATAGTCTAAAAAACTACAGAGTATTTACATTACAACACAAAAAGAGACGTAACATGACTAACCTGACTTTCAACAAGCATTGCCATGTCCATGAACATGTCATGTAATTCCTTGATACTCTTTTCCAGTTTCATGATGTCCTGATGTCGAGCTTCAATATCTGCCAGAGATTGTTTAGCCTGTTGCGTATCTGTCATAATCTGAAACAGTGAGCAAAAACGTACTGTCTTTGAATGAATATGACTGAATAGTGAATGCTTCTTCAAAGTTGAAGAAAACGCTTCCATTTTATTTTACATTTTATTTACATTCGCTTGCTCTTATAATCAGCGATTAAATAGTAGCACAATCGCTGTAGTTGGTGGTTCTATGAGTATATGTGTGCATCACGAACTGACATCAGTTGGAGAACCACTGCAAACTTGGGAGAACTGCTTTTTCAGCCGTTTCGTCCTAGTATGGAACTCCTCGGCAGTGCGCACCCATGACTCCACCAGTGACTGAACCAAGGAGACGTTTAGGTTTTGCAATGAGCACGTTACCATTGAGCCACTGGGCCGGAATCCCACGGCCCACACTTTCAGTGGTCCTCTAACTAATATAAATCCGTGTTGAAACCAACAAATCCCCATAAACCATACTGAATTATATCTCGTGAATGCAATCTTTAAAAAGAAAAACACAGGATTCAGGCGTAGAGAGTTCTTCGGAGAATTGGAGGGTTACGAAGAAGCACATTACACTCAGACGTCTTTGTGGAGACATTCCACGAATAAGGTAAAAATGTTAATGATGTGAAAAGTTTCGACATTAACTGAAGAGTGTTAAGTGATTTGAACACTTCAAAATTAGCATTTATAACCTGTAGTAAGTGAGTAATTAACTACAGCTCCAAAAACTACGAAATTAAAGTACCAACTTCTCAAGATGAAATTTTATTGCATATACTTATGGGATACACAAAAATATGCCTACTTTGAACGTATCTTGGGGGCTTAGTAACAACCGTAGTAACCGCTTTTAACAGCCGTTTTATCTGTTGTTTCTTCAAATGATTTTTATTGCTAATTCTTTTTATTATTGAATCCTACTAAGTCGTGAAGTCGAAAACAACTTTTGCAGAAGTATGCTAAATCGTATTTAACGATTGTCCATTTTAGTTACCAATGTTTATCCAATTTTGAAATTGTAAGTCTTCACCCTACTTACTAACCTCGAATATTCATTTTTAAAATATCCAAAATCGACAGTAACATTTATGTTTTTCATTCTTCAGTTGGGTAATGGACGCTTGTGCAAAGCTAAACCACTACGTGGTATTATTGACCTAAATAACTACAGACAACCTTTAAATCAAACAGTGAATAATATATAAGAAAACTGCAATGTTTAACATAAGTCACTAGTGTAGTTGACTTGTTAGTGTGAAAGTGGAACAAAATAGAACCACTTATCATGCACAACTAACTTCTTGAGTAAAAATAGCCGGGTTTCCAGATTCCAGCATATCCTCCAGTTCTTCGTTTGAAATTTTTCTTTCAGCTAAAACGAAAAATGACTGTTAGGAAAACTAAAGTGCACGTTACATGTTATTAACGAGACAAATAATTTTAGTTCCGGCAACCTATTACCACTGTTAACAAACTTATTGATACAATATCGAATATTTAATTGTACGACGACAAGTTTCCAACATAGGAATACAAAACATACTGATATTTACTTATCATAGAACCAACCTAGTGTGAATTCAATGGACCAGTGTGTCCCGTACTTATAAAACACACTGTGATCTTACAACATACATCTTTCGAAAAACGAGAGTTAGGATACTCAGAAACAGCATACATTAAAGATTGACTTTCGCACCTAGACAAAAATTCAGACCGTTTTAAACAGGATCGAGAAACAATTTACTACTAGAAAACAATGAGGAAATAATTTTTACAGTTTTTGGTGAAATACACTGAATACGTGGTCAGCAAGAAAATGTTTGTGATAAGAAAATTTTAAGCGGCATATTTATGTGGTAATGTGTATATGATGATTCGTCCAAGTTTTTCTGAAGCTGAAGACTTCAATGAACAATTGAAAACATGAGAAGGTAGAAACCTAGTTGTAGGTCATGAAGTGATATGAGGAAAATGTTATGGAGCCTCCCGTATACGCCTAAGTCATAATTAGCATCAACTGACAAACTTACATAAAGTAGGACAGAAGAACATGAATGTAGCCTAATAGGACTTCTTACTTACAGATGTTGCAGAGATGGAATTCGCCTACACAAACAATCCAACCTCCAGTGGCTGGAACGGTTATTCAATGAGGTGCTATAATTTAACAAAGTTCAGATAGGTGATGGTCAAGATAAGGGTACCTACTAACAATATAATTAATTTGAAATGATTTTGAACGTATAAATTGTGCTGCCTTTAGAAGATAAGTCAGAAAAGATTGGTAATAAAAAACGTAAATTACGATTCGCCAGGCGACATTCTTTCGTCAGGTGTTAGGGCTTTGAGTAGAGGTAATTGTTTATAAAAATAGTTTATATCTACTCGTGATTTACTAGGAAGCTCTTTTTGTTCAAGCACCTTCCATACATTGAAACCAAATGTTTTGGTTTTGGTTGGAGTTATTTCCTCTACATTTTAATTCCCCATTGAGATAATTGTAGCTTCTCCCGCTCTTTCGTATCGATTATTTAACTTGACGAAAAATAATCGGAATTAACCATTTATGAGAATGCACTTCACCCATTTTCAAAGTATTTTGCTCAAATTTAATATATGTAAGTGAATATGTTTCCAGTTTGTAGCTCTTTCATGCAAACGTTTTTGAAAGACAAGAGCAAAGATTCGAGTAAGTGTACCATGCGCTCTACACCTGTAAAATGTAAGGTGATGTGCTCAAAACTTTCCTTACTTGTAGAAACCTGGGACATCATGAACACTAAGATGTGCACGGTACAAAATAATAAAGCAACATAAAGAGGACCCAGAAAATGGAAGAGAGAAAGGAAACAAAAACGGTAGTGAGTTATTAAAGAAGCAATCTCCAGATCCCTTCTTTTTACTCTCCAGTAATAAAAAAAAACAAGGCTGCGGCAAGCTTGCCACTGGTTTCGATTCTAAGTTGTGTCTGCTATCATTGCAAACCGCTGACTTGTATGATCTTCCAAAACCAATGCAAGGAGTTGAAAGGCACCAATAGGTACCGACCTAACACAACCATTCTCCATCCCTTAGTGTCACGCCATATATTAATCACCTGCCAGTTTCTTCCAACAAGTCCCAGGACAAGTGAACAGTGAATGATACAAGATCCACTGGGGCGACCTGTGTAATACATGTTTGTTATCGAAGTCACCCTAGTGAATGCATTACGATCTCTATCACACCCAACCACATACCACCTCACCTCTACATAGTGTTTCCACCAGAAGAAAGAAAACCAAATGAAATGATAGGCCAAAAGTGGCCCAGATGGGCATATGCCATCCCGACTTTCGATGAATGGTTGTACATCTCATCAACCTTACTTCCATCAAACCCTAGACCACAACCCAGGTACACGCTTTTCAACAACTTCTAGTAATTCACTATCAAGAGTGAGAGCATAGATTCCTGGTAATCTTGTGGAAACACTTTGTATTTCAGTTTTGCAAAGCAAATACTACACTTACGGACACTGATCGCTAACTTATTACGTTGTTACAGTAAGACGCTATCACCTGAACACTTGAAGTCAAAAAATATACCATCTGGCAACAGATTCACATCGCCCTCAGGGCTGTTTCCAAAATTTTATCGTTAAAGAGGAGTGGCGAAAACTGGTAGCCTTGCCTAACCCTATTAATGGTTTGAAACAATGTAGATAGGTAGCTGTAAGCCCTCATTCTACTTGAGGTGTTGAAATACAAAGCATCCAAGATGTAAGCGAATTTAACAGCGACACGCCTCTATAACAGGAAGTTCTGGAGTACAGCCTTATCCAACAAATCCAGAGCAGTCTTAATATCCAGGAGTACAACAATTGTTGACATATAATGTGTGATGTTCTAGCATCTGGACGAGGAATAGAGTGGGATAAGTGCATTCACGTGAATGGAAAGTGGCCTGCTCCAGTCCGATCAGCGTCGTAGCAACAGTTTAGACGCAGTGGTAGCACAGCGATACCCGATGGTCATCACCAGCAATCTGTATCCCTTTTTTAAAGATCAGTGCAACAGTAGATTCAGTTTTTAATGATGAGACATTTAGTTTGTCATACTTTTCCAAACGACGACTTCCGTTTTATCAAACTCTAAAGATATCGGAAGTAAGTTGACTGGCCTTAGTGCCATACTTTATAACATGAAATTCCTTTTAGAACCTCACCTAGTTAGATGGGTTGGTATCAACAGACCATACTAATCAAGCCGTCATCAGGACGAGAACTTTTGCCATGTTCAGATATATGCTTGGGAATCTCTCGGAAAGCACTTCAAACACCATATATTTGTCTTGTGTCTCAGAAAGACAGCATACACTTATGACTTGGGATCCAAGAGCTTTAAAAAGTGAGACTTGTCTGACTCAGAATAGGGTTCGAACGTTGGCAGTCGAAAGACTGGAATACAGTCAACAACTACGTATATGTTTAGGCAGTAGACAACGCGGCACACCTATTGTGTGAGGGTTTATGATACTACCCAGCTCTCCAAACGTAGAATGTCGTACATAAGTCGGCATAATTTACAGTAGCATGGAAGGAACAAGTTGGTAGGAAGAGTGATATCGAAGTAGAAAAAGGGAGAAAAAAAATTTGAAAATCAAGGTTAGTCAGTATTTAAGCTCTTGAAGACGTTAAGGAGTGAATACATCTGCCCGATTTATAAGTCACCTCAACGAGCTTCTAACCAGGTAGTCAATGAGTGACAACCCTAAAATAAATCCGACTTGATTTCTCTTTATTTCTATATAGGTGCACGGTCAGGTTGACACTAGAATTTCATATTAAATCAGTCTAACAATGGTAGTAATATTTATTAGATAACGTATTAAATAAACTGTGTAATGACTCTACCACAGTACTAAAGCATGTGTTACGTTTATGACAAAAGGCTGTGAGGACTAAAATGGTACAGTGGGTTTGAATTTGTACCACGGTGATTGGCAGTGTTACGCTTATGCTTCTGAGCGACACCTAAACAAGATCACTGCAGTAGCTGATCACAAACCTCTCGCGCGTTTAAGCTTAATTCACTTAAAACACCATTCCAACAACAAAGTTTATTTCAGATAATTTCCTTGAAATTTTCACCGTTAAAGGAAATTCTTAACGGGTTAGGATACATGATCATTATACCCATCTTTAAGGTGAATCCAATAAAAAAGTGGGAATTATACCTCACGGATTACCTATATTTTCACTATTCATTTGCTGCAGTGTTGCAGACAGCATCATATCATTATGCGACTAGTAAACTTCATGCAACAGGTTATCATTAAAATTTGCACATAAGTTAGCAGACATTCACCTCTGTCCGTTTGAGTCAAGTAAGGCGACGCACACCAGCCGGTGGAGGCCTCGGGATAAAAGAAACCAGTGATTGGAGACTCTAGGTGATATAGCTCAGAAACGATGTCAGTGACACAGATCTATACACACATTATCCTCATCTTAACCAATATGCTTAATCTCATCATCTTATCCTTCTTTCCTCTCTTTTACTACTTTCTTTCCTTCTTCACCTTCTACTTTATTGCTCTGTTACTTGGTGCGTTGATATGAGGTGTGCCAACTAGGACCGTTACGCAGTAATGCCTAGTCCTGTGTTGATGATGAAACAGTCACCTGAAACCATCAGTGATCCGACCACTCATAAACATAATAAAAGCCTGTTCACATGGCAATCACACATTGTCTTTCATGAGTACAAAACAGCTAAGTCGTGTGACACCCCAACCGTCTCTAAAATCTCAGGGTACATATATATGTATATATATAAACAAATATGGATGGTCGTTCTTGACTCATCTTTACTACTGCTACTAATTATTTACTGCCACTAGTATTCAGTTTCGCCAGCTAATCTAAGTTGTCTTTATTCCTTTGCTATGAATTGAAGAATTTAGCAGGTTTAACTTTCTACGTATGGACAGACAGACAAAATCAAACCTGAACCCCGTATAGAAGTTCATCGGTTCAAGTCACCACACTTCACGCTAGCAAGCAAAGAAAAAGACATATTAAGATAGACAAAGGTGTATGGGAGGAGAATACATTTGAAAATAAAGTTGAGTTAAAATATTCAAGCTTTAGAAGACGTCAGAGAGGGCGTGCATCCACGCCATTGTGACTGATCTCAACCATGTCACCAAGAGTCCTCAACCACTGATTCCTATGGTCTCAAGGACCCCAGCCAGATAGTCTATACCTCTTTATATGCCCCAGACCAACAGTCAGGGACTGATGCTGTCTCTTGGTCTGACCACCCTGAACCCTCTTTCAACCTAATCCAGTTTGCAATCTTTGAACGTCGTAGTAGGTGACACCTCGACATGCGTGGTACATGCCCAACTCACTTCAGTCGATGAAGCTTCATAAGCTCATCAATTGACTTGGCTAGTACCCTTCGCCTAACCATGATGATCCCACCAAACGCGAGCAATCCGACGAAGGCGCTTGTGATCAAAACCTTGTAACCACCTCATATCTTCTACTTTCAACGGCCATGTACCGCAACTGTGTAACAGGACAGAAGGGACTGTCGTGTAGTATGCTTGTCGTTTGATAGGCAGTTGGATATCTTATCGGTTGGTACCAGCGATGACGCAAGTTGGAAAATTCCAAACGAGGCTTCTGTATCCGGGCTAGGATTTCGTCAGCAACCAACCAGTTCGGACTAATGCAACTTCTTTAGTAAGTGAAGTGGTTCATGCACTCTATTATTTTACTCCTCATTCTAGTACTCTGTGTTGCGTTACAATAGTCATTCAGGGTTCAAAATAAGTTAGTGATGCCATAACACACTTAAGACTATAAACATATGGCTTTCATATCTTTCAGTCTTTACGGCGATATCTCAGCTGTACAAGTGGACATCAGTGAAGGTTACCAATGCTTCGGTTTGCAGCACTATACGTCACCTACATTCGTGCACACTAATGTACTTGATTAGCTGTAAGTGTACTGACAGAAATTTGCATACATGGTAATTAGTCAAGAAATACGCAGTGATACAGAAAATGATTCAAATAGTCGAGAAGCTAACTTTTATATCACAGGAATAACCTAAAAAATATGCATACAGCCATCCTAAGGACCAACTTTCTTGGCATGCTAATGAGAGTAAAACTAGAAGTCTACAGATAAGTGGGCTCTACAAATGTAAACATGAATAAGCCGAGTGTCCATCAAAAATAACACGAGATTCCAAGGGACTCACCAATTTCCATTTGCCTTTTAATTCTATTTTTACAAGCATCACGGAATGCAACCTGAGCTTTGTTGTAGTCTGTCATCACTTCGATAAAGTTCCTAGAAATAGTGGAGTACTACGAGGCATTAGAATAGTAGAGGGTTTTACCTGAGTTTTTCTAATACGTAAATCGGCCGACGTTTTACCAGAGTTTTCATCATACTCAATGTTCATCTCCATCTCTACAAATCTTAGAAAGAAAGAAATGACTTACGTTTTAGCTTAGCTCGCACTTTATGTGCTATTGTCTTAATTTCTGCCATCGCATCTTCAAGCTGAGCCTTAGTGGCTGGAAAGGAAGTTCAGAATAACTAAGATATAATACCTTCATCCTGATTCGGAGAAGAAAGTATGTCACTGTGTTTATTTTTAACATCGTCAACTAGGGACTGAACGCGTTCTATCAAGTTTCGTATTTCTTCCACCTGGGAGAAGAAATCATTCATGTACTGTGAGCCATCAAGAGGCAGAGATGTGTCGGGCAACTCATTTGCATCTTCAGGTTGAGCCTATAAAAGATGTATTAACTACATAAAACTCATTTACCGCTCGAAGAGCGCCTATCAAATCTTTCGTCATCAAGATGCAGCCGCCCTAGAAGTAAATCACGCGCGCCTTTTTAAACACATATACGGATAGTTGATGAAACATGCCTCGCGTATTAGTTAGCATTAATTAGTTCTAAAAGCAATAAGCTACACTTCGAAAATCAGGAAGTTAGAGCGGCTTTTTAAAAAGTTGTGGCACACTATTTGAACACTAACGTTTACGTCAGATGGATGTAATTGCACAAGAGATTTCTAATACTCCACCTGTTACATCTGCTTACATCTTAACATGCCTCATACTGACATTGGCTGTGGTAAGTGGCTGTGTTTGTTCTCTGAATAGCAGTAGCAATTAAACTTGATTTCACCTTTACAACTGTACTTCAACCCCTCATTGATCGCAAATAACTTTCAGGTTTGTTCCCTCACATATTTATGACAACCGTTTTACTAGCTATGGAGGCTGGTGACATCGTTTTGCTTTTTGGATCTTTCAATTTTAGTTTTCTCTTCAATATTATATTTGCCTATCGATATTGCCGAATGTTAGAAGAAACATGGTACAGTACAAAAACTGCAGATTTCATCATGATGTTTCTGTTTTGTGGAACTCTCACAGTGGTATGACACAGTTGAAGAAGTAATTTTTCAGATAATCGCTCTGTTTGTTAACATGCTGTTCCTCAGTCATGTCTTAACAATGATGCTTGTTTATGTATGGAGTCGAAGGAACCCACATGTGAGGCTTAATATTTTTGGTATACTAGAAGTAAATGCCCCCTACTTACCTTGGGTATTTTTTGCTTTTTCGTTCCTTCTTGGAAATAATATGATGGTCGACCTAATCGGTAAGAAATACTTTTGTACTGAAAACTTAAACCCTCAGGCATTGTTGTCGGTCACTTGTACTACTTCTTAGAAGATGTTTATCCAAACCAAGTAAATGGATTTAGGATCCTTCGTACGCCTCAATTTATGTAAGTCAGAATTAGTATTCATCAGGGATCTCCAACCCCACAGGAAATATTTATTTGACAGACGACAAATTAATCGTGACTATGAACCTCTCGCTGAAGTAGGAAGACCAGGAGGATTTGACTGGAATAATCACGAATAAACGCAAACTAGATAAACCCTATTTCGTTTTTTACCTTCTATTTTCCGTCGTATAACTAAACGTTTGTAAAGTTCTTCCACACTACTACTCTGCTTTGTCTTAAATATTCTAATGTGGAACTAAACATTTGTTAGTGAATATAAACGTTTTATCATTCTGTTTATCTAAAATTACTAAACTGTATAAATTTTTAACAATGTGGTTGTGTTAAGAGGTTAGTGTGGCGGACTTTTATTAGTCCCATAGTGTTTAGCGGCTAATTAATTTACACATCCTTACTACTTGAGCCATACGAAGATAAGCACTATCGCGGTTTGATGCGAATGGTGTTTAGTGAAATGTAGTGGTATTTCGTTGTTTTGGTCGTTTCCCAGTAACTTACTTTTGGGAGCCACCATCTGAAGATGAGTAATTGCTGAATCTTTGCTGTGAAATGTATATTTCAAGAAGCACAACAAGTTTAGATCAAAAACTAACTAGCCACTATTAGTAACGCATTGCTTGGCTAACATTTTGTCACATTGCTATTATCTATATCATAGTAGATTGCTGATAAAATGATAAAGTTAATTCGTACAAATTTGTATCGAGAAGTTGTAGTTTGTTATTTTGTGGCACCACAGTATCTTTATTCTCAGACCTAATCACTGAAGTGGTTGCAAACACACAGCATACAAAGCCCTACTCCAAACTTGAATTTTAACTCGAAGATTTTATCGACCCATTTAAAGAGGAAGCGACCAAGCTTGATGTAACTACTCCTGAAAAAGTGTAGAGTCACATACATTTTGCTGCGCGGACAACAACAATGAGCTAAAACCCCCTTAATAATGTTTGATGAAAGTGGTGGATTCTGGTAATTTTTTTAAATTAGTGTATGTATGCTGATGCACAATAAAAGGGTAAATTAGCTCATCGTTAGGTTAACAAATGACCATGTGCGATCAAAGCTTAAAAAAAATCACGAAAAGCACTAACGATATGTATTGTTAGGTTTGTCAAAAGAAACTATGTTAAACATTTGTCTTGTAGGAAAACTAGGGAAAAGAAGAATCAAAGATGCATTTACAAAGGTAACTGGAACCTCAAGCAGAGCACTGACACATCGTTTGACTGACTTCCACCTGCTCATGAGATACGAAGTATCTATTTTTATTTGTTAACGGAAAACCCACATTGTTGAGAAATATGGCTATTTCTTACAAATTCTAAAAAACGATTAGTATTACTCTAAAAGCAAGAAAACCACCCAGTTTGCCTAAGACTCGGTTTGTTGAAACTTCAGTCGTAGTCTGAATGGTTAATAAATTGATGATCAACTTTTACCGATGTCATAATAAGTATTATTAACATCTTGCCTCGCTAAAAGACCTGACCTCTTCATCTGATGATGAGCTTAAAGTAAAAAAACAAAAACACCAAGGACACTAAAGGACTGTTGTTTTTACGGATTTTAGTATCAGTTAGTTGTGATAAAAATTAATCGTAATTCAATTCAACATTGTGCATGTATTTATGTCCTAGACTGAGCCGCACTTACTAAAGTAGGTAAAGCAAGGTATGAGGAAGTGGTCTAACGACATGTAACTGCTTCAAATCAATAGATGTCAATTTCCATGGAAGAAGGAAAACCTTATGATAATCACAATTTTAGTTCATGGAATACCAGATTCTATAGTCCGACTCTTAACTGGAATGAAATATATAAGAAGCCTTGGAAATTTAGATAGGTTTCAGACCAAACTTAAATACGTCGATCCCAACCGATATCTGCTACCTTGACATAGTGGTTGAGCTTGCATCAATAACCCAACAATTTCAACGGTCTGGGCGGCCGGGAAGTGTCAACCGCCCTCACGCTCCCGGTAGTATACAAGATCCAATTGGTCATAAGCTATCCTCCCTACCTCCATTGGCTTCTCTTCCTTCACCTCCTGTTACCGATATTAAACATCTTACAATTTCCTCTGCTGACCCAATGGCTAACTCTCATTGACTCGCTGGCGTGTGCATAGCATTGAGTTGCAGAGCAGAAAGTGCACTTGTCAACTGGGATACTAGTCAACACTCGAATGTGTTATTCAACTGGATGGTTCTGTAAGAACTAGGCATCATCGTGAGACTAGGCGACGCCTATCCGTAATCTCCGTCCACCGACTGAAGTATGGATGGTTTCTATAAGAAGCTGTCAATTTTGCTACATTAAGCAAAACGTTTTAGTGTAATCATAAAAGTAAGTGACATTACCGCTCAATTTGCGCATCTGAGCCAATAGGAAAGGTATGTACGGAATCCCGTGCCAACGATTATCGTCACTTGCAATTTTGTTTTGACCATCACTTATTTCTGGACACGACTAACCGCAAGCTTGAAGAGAGTCACTGTCCCACGTGACATCTGTCGAAGAGGAGAACGTATTTAGGGAGATAGCGAAGCATTTACCTCGACATGACAGCAATCCTGATACTGGGCAAACGTGACATGATATTGAATCTGTCTTAGAAACAACGGTAAAACCAGTTGGTAACCTATACCCGAAGGTTAGCAAACGTCATTGGATTTCCACGTCATCCGAAGTGGTTGATACGAGAAGACTGATTCTGTTTGTCTCCGAACACAATGGAGAGAGCAATTTGACCAAACGTTTCCGCAGTGATCACGTACCATGATAAGTGACGAAGGAGGTGGAGGAAGCATCAGTATAACTTGAATAATCGGCAGTTATTTATCCTTATTAAGGATGCTATCAAAAAGAAGATAGTTGTGAGTGATACCACCGAAAAGGATGGGACGCTGATAACGTCTCAGGACAGGGCTAGAATGTTGGGTGAAACGCATTGAAGCACAGTTTGACTAGCCCCCAGCAACGCTTTATTTATCCAACCCTGAACTGGACATCAGGTGTTGGTCCCCTAGCTGCCCAGAAAGTTGAGAAGCTGCTTCGAAAATGAAACGACAAAGCAGCAGTTTGCCACCTGAAATTTTTAAAGATAGAGGTAGGGTATTGCTGACTTGAGAAACGGAATTATTAGGTAGTGTATAGGAATCAGAGGTAGTGCCGTCAGACTAGTATACTTCATTCATCATGCCAGTGCCTAAGAAGGGGGGGAGTCTTCTTGTGACAATCATACATGAATCAGTTTAAGTAACATCGTGTCCAAGGTCTCAGGTTCCATAGTTATTCGGCGCCTGAGTGGAACTCGAGAAAGAAAGCCTGGAGGAGTTTGTGTCGATTGAATTTTCATCCTTTGACAAGTTCTGGATTACACGCAACTTACCGACGACCGACACTTGCCGTATTTCTTAACCCAAAGGCGGCATTTTACTCTATCGACCGTCAGGTGTTGTGGTAGTGTCCGTCTGTGAACGGGGTATGATGTGACCGAGTAGAAGTGACTGACAGAGTAATACAAGAACGCTGCCAACGCAATGAGATACTTGGGATGGATGCAAATAGCAACTGTTCTCCCTCAGACCTGATACTTCACTGAGCTGCGAAAACCAGAAGACAAAGACCGGCCTGTAAGAAAGACAATTTATTTAACAAAAACACATTCCTATACAGTTTTCCTCAGAATATAAAGCCACTAGATCAAAAGTTGGATACTTATTCTGATTAATTAGCTGCAGGATGAAGTCGTCCAGAAAGATTTTCCCTGCCGACACAGTAACAAGTTCAAAATCCAAAACTTTTACTTTAGTAACTAATGTCAATGCTGATTTCTATTTAGGCCGCTTTCTATTAGGGTAATGAGCAAGTATGCTGCAACGCCAATCAAAGATGAAACAATGCACGGTCTTCTGAACGCTTTAAGCAGAAATCTGAGCATATTTAGCTTGCGTTTCGCACCTGTCAATTGTAAGATGCTTCAGGACTGGTTTCCAGCTACTCCCAGTTTAAGGATAGGGAGTGAAGTAATAGAGTGCATGAACCACTTCACTTACTAAAGAAGTTGCATTAGTCCGAACTGGTTGGTTGCTGACGAAATCCTAGCCCGGATACAGAAGCCTCGTTTGGAATTTTCCAACTTGCGTCATCGCTGGTACCAACCGATAAGATATCCAACTGCCTATCAAACGACAAGCATACTACACGACAGTCCCTTCTGTCCTGTTACACAGTTGCGGTACATGGCCGTTGAAAGTAGAAGATATGAGGTGGTTACAAGGTTTTGATCACAAGCGCCTTCGTCGGATTGCTCGCGTTTGGTGGGATCATCATGGTTAGGCGAAGGGTACTAGCCAAGTCAATTGATGAGCTTATGAAGCTTCATCGACTGAAGTGAGTTGGGCATGTACCACGCATGTCGAGGTGTCACCTACTACGACGTTCAAAGATTGCAAACTGGATTAGGTTGAAAGAGGGTTCAGGGTGGTCAGACCAAGAGACAGCATCAGTCCCTGACTGTTGGTCTGGGGCATATAAAGAGGTATAGACTATCTGGCTGGGTCCTTGAGACCATAGGAATCAGTGGTTGAGGACTCTTGGTGACATGGTTGAGATCAGTCACAATGGCGTGGATGCACGCCCTCTCTGACGTCTTCTAAAGCTTGAATATTTTAACTCAACTTTATTTTCAAATGTATTCTCCTCCCATACACCTTTGTCTATCTTAATATGTCTTTTTCTTTGCTTGCTAGCGTGAAGTGTGGTGACTTGAACCGATGAACTTCTATACGGGTTTTGGGTTGATTTATTTGTCAGATGTGTCCATCAGATATTCATCCCTCCTTGGACTTGGGACTACTAAGTGACCAACGTCACACGATGTATTTCTCGATTTGAAAACATCGTTTAACTCCGTAAATTGATACCTGTCGCGGTGGTATCTCTTGGAAGTGTTCGCGAAATGGATCATTTTACAGTTTTTGTAATTGTGTTCGTCTCTACGGTGTTCTGTCCATTAGGATTTCTACAATGGATATCCATGAGTAATGTCATTTCATTTCGATTTAACTTTATCATAGATATGTTGGTTAAGATTTACCTCAGCCAACTTTGTAGGGATTTATTTCTCACAAAACTCGTTATTCCGCTGATAAGATTCCTGTCGGGAAATGCATTTCGACTGTAAACTTGAAATAGTCTAGGATGCGTTTCTTACCTCCCAAATGCGAACCAACTGTGTTAACACATTCGACAATAGGTTGTGAAGTGGTTCAGCATGTTAAGTACTTCACATGCATAGACAATCAAATCCACTTTAGTGGGCCTATGAAATCTTGTATTAGATTTAAAAGGTTCCATCAGTTTTTACCGAGATATCCGGTCACCTATTAAGGAATCAGTTTACTGTGCAAGAGTGCGCTCTGTCCTTGTACATAACTTTAAACTGTTGATAAAGTATGTGGAATATGCGAAAGAGATGAGTATTTGGTCGCCGCTCCTTTTGCGGCATCAGTCTATGGTGAAACCACCATATGAGTATTTCAGAATCTCACAAAAAAAGGATTGAGTTAGTCTGTGAGGTTGTACACTTTCGTCGTTCGCGGTGGTTGTGACATATGTTACACATCCTACATCGTCCACTTCTGTGAGCTGCAATCGGAATAAGTTGGAAAAAGACTGAAGGTAACCATGCTAATTGGTGGCACTTATCCATAAAGTCTTTAACTCTTGGTCTGAAGCGATTAGGAAAATGTAAGCTCCTTATTTTGAGTCGACGAGACAAGTGAAGCGGATGGCTTGCAATCGTAAGCTGAATCGATTGTAGGACCGCATATGCATTCTGCTTTAACCTCATCTAAATCGCGGCGTCGGCTTTCGTTACTAACTTGTTCTTTTCTGAGAAATTGGTTTGTAGTTAGGTTAGTTAATAAACGAAAATATATATGCTGTGAACAACACAGGTTGACAAAAAGACTTCCGATTTGCATTCCGTAGAGAATTGAAGGTATTGGAATTTTTTGAATAATAAACACCCTAAATATTACGACTGAATAATGAGGTTGTAAAGAAAGACGGGAATATTAGAGAGAAATCAAGTTTCCCAGAATAAAAGGCACACACTTTCGTACACTACGGTTATTTTTTAGGTATGAGCAACCAAAACTCCTATGGTTTGGATGCCGAAACCAAGGTGTTTCGGAGACTTCAGTTGCACTCCACAGGCTTTTAAGTGCTTACATATTTACGTTAAGTAGTCAGAGCCATCTAGGAATAACTGCTATCACTTCTCTCTTGGGAAAACAATCTTGAAGATGATCTGGTATGCGCATTGATCGTACAAGTACCTATGGTCGATATACCTTGTTCCACAAAATTGGGAAAAGTAGATGTACATGGAGGTGGCCAAATGGGAATGCTTATATTTCGTACACCACGAATCATAAAAACGTATGCATAAGTTCTGTAGTGAAGAAAAAATACATACTTTATATCTATGACTTAAAAACAATGGAATGATCCACTCGATCTGCTGAGTTTGTGTAACCGCAAAGGTATCACGCATTCTCTCGTGTATTTATTTGAAGATCGCGTATAAAAGTGATGACCTACTGGAACATTTTTCTAGTTCACAACTCTGGGGTGTTGTGCCTTCTATCATAGTACGCCACACCAACTTACTACGTGAAGTAACTTATCCTACTGATTTCAATACTAGCTACAGGTTTTCGCAAGATATTTTCAGTACTACGCGTTCCTTATTAGCACAAGACTTTCCCATGTAGCTTTCAGTCACCCATTTGCCTTGGTGAACCTGCTAGATTATTAGTGACAAATACACTAAACGTAACGAAGTCAGAGTATGTAACCCTGCAGAAAACGTCAGTTCCCGTTTCTTATTTCCCAAAATTGATCCCTTAAAGTAACATATTCTTTTAACTTAGGGGAGTCTTTCAAGGCAAAATAGTAGGTGAAGTCGAATAGTCCTGTCAGGTGGGAAGGTATGGATTTGCTACAATTTAACTTCCATAAGAGATAGATCTTTAAGTCAAACCAAGCGAAAGGCTGGAAGATGTGGTTTTCTTTTATTCATCAATCTCTGGAACTAGAACATGAGTGCTTCTGTAATAAAAGTAAGCAGATGTTTGTATATCACTTGAAAGTATTAAAACCTTAAAATTATCATAGTTTGAAAAACTAATAGTTTTGTAATAGTGACAAAATGTGCTTCTCAATAATACGTTGGCTAGCACGTGAGCCTCGTCGTATAGCCAAATCAAGTGCCGTCCATCCGTCCCCATTTGTAGTGGTGATATCAGCGCCCCAGTCGAGTAACAAAGATACAATCGCGGCATTGTTGTTGTAGGCTGCAAACATGAGTGCAGTGTTACAGAGTTCGTCAGATACATCTACTGGACAGCCAGCTTTCAGCAAGTAGAGAACTACGTCAAAATGACCACGACTGGCAGCTAGAAGTAAACCAGTTTCCCCATTATCTCCAGAAAGAAGTACATTTGCCCCATAAAAGACAAGTAGTTCCACTGCAGCCTTTTGTCCATTGGCACAAGCCCACAACAACGGAGTAAACCCCTGTAGATAAAATAATAATAAGGATTAGAACTATACCGCTATTGGGATAATGCACTTAATACACAGGTATGTTACAATGTTGCTTCATTAATACATTATTATTATTGTTAGAACATAAACTTAGTACATGAAGAGCACCAAGAAATGCGCCACACCAAAATAATATAACACTATTTTGAAGACATAAAGCAAATGGAAAGCGGATTAAAAAGTCAGCCCAACAAGATACATTCAAAGCAAAACGTTCACTACTTTTCAGCAGCAGCAAATAGAAGGAAGCTACAGTATGACCACTACTGGTTTTGATACTGAGCTATATCTGATAACGTTTCAAGTCACTGGGTTGCATGATCTCTCGGACTTTATCCACGAAGTCGTGACGCACCAACAGATGCTAACCCAATACAACTATCCTTCATCCAACGGCGCCACGCCATACCCTGGACCACCCCTCATTACGACATAAATCCCTGTCTCAGTCTTGTGACTTAAACAAATTGGAACTTAACAACCACTTGAGTTACTACTACATTCGTAGCAAAACAAACTGTGCGCGATGATTTCAGTAAAAAGTAAGGATACTAAAATATCGATTTACTTTTCAACACAGACTGATACCAGCTGGAGAACTATCGTAAATGTGGGAAACTGATTTGTCCTAGTTTGAGACTTCTCAACAAAGCATCGTGACTTGTCGAGGGTAAGGACAGGCGCACTCCGATGGTAATAGATGACAGTTCCGGTCTAGAAAATCGAAAAAGTAAGGGACTATGATACATTTGATTTCAACCCAGCGTTTGGGTATTAAGCTGCTCGCCTCGGAAACTGACCGCCCAGAGATCAATATGTTGGCAGTGAACAATGTTGAGGAGTCTCAAACTAGGCCAAAACAGCTGTTTCTCTAGCTAATTTCTATACACAAGGAAGGCTATCTTGCACTTGATCAATTCTTTATAAAGTAATCGAGATCAACACGACCAGGTATTGTGCTGCATAACGGTTCGATTTGCCACACCTCATATCAAGATGGAAGATGAAGAAGGGAAGAAAAATCGGTCAAAGTAAGTAAAAAAGAGGAAGGAAGAACGAGATGATGAGATTAAGTATAGCGACTAAGATGAGGATAATGTGTGTATGGATCTGTGCGACTGACATCGGTTCTGAGCTATATCACCTAGAGTCTCCAACCACTGGTTTCTTTTGTCCCGAAGACCCCAACCGGCTAGTGTGCATCGCCCTACATGGCTCAAACCAACAGTTAAGGACTTCATGCATTGATGCCGTTTTAGTCTGGCCGCCCCAAGCCTTTTTCCAGCCTAAACCTACTTCAGCCAACACTGTGACGAGCCAGACGGTAGTTAGGTATGCATAACACATGTCCCAACCATCTCAGTCAATGAGGGTTCACAACAGCATCAACTGTCTTATCTCTCCTGCCTACAACTCTACACCTAACTTCTGTTTTACTCACATGTTGATACCAGGAAACACGGCCTATGCTACGAAGGTAGTGGTGGTCAAACACCTGAAGCCTTCTCATGCTTTTTACCTTCAATGGTCATGTTTCACAGTCATACAAGAGAACAGAGGGGACTGCAACACAGTACACTAAGATCTTAATAGGTAATCAGATATCGCAGCAGCGCCACAAATGGCGTAAGTTGGCAAAAGCCAGCCGAGCTTTTTTTTACCCGCGCAGAGATTTTGTCGGTCACTGACCCACCAGGGCTGGTATGACTTTCCAGGTAAGTAAAGTCGGTCTAGTCAAATAAGTTAATTTCCAACAACTAACTCTTTAATTTCAAGAACTAAGTCAGATCATAAACAGTTACTAACGCATCACATACTTAGTGTTTACCACTGGAACGAGGTTTTTAGTAATTGTATTTAATATCATATGAAACTCTAAATTTCCGAAATCAACTTGTTCATCCAAGTAGCTTAAAGCAATTTATAATACAAACGCATTTAGCTAGTAAGGTTTTTTCTTGGAAAACAACAGCAGCATCGTACTATCCTTTGCTAAAAGAATGTATACTATTCCAATAATCTAAAATGAAGTTCAATAACGGTGGAATTAATCAAAAGTGCTTAAAACACCATTTCAGGATGATAAGTTACTAGTATGCAATTAACAATGATCTGTATCTGATTTCCACCACGGATTGACAGCACTTGGAGAACCACAGAAAACCTGAGAGTGCTGGGCAGGGTTTTCATCCTAATGTAAGACTTTTCATCTGTGGTTAGCCAAAACCACGCCAGGTCTTGCAGAGAGCACTTTACTATTTAGTCACTGGGTTGGAATCCAGTGTTCCATACTTTCCCACCCCTGTTAATTCATGACCATCATCTAATCCCATCGGTGAGTAGTCTGTGAGTTGTCCTCATATCCAATTTGGTTGACCCGATGGCATTCTGATAGGGTACTTACTGGCAATCGGAGTCTACTCACGTGATAGATATTGTTCATGGAGAAAAGAATTTTTAGTATGATGAAACTAGAACTTTAGAAGACGAAATTACTTACAGAGATATTCGAAAAATGTAAGTGCTAAAGTGAAACTACTGGAAGAAGAGAGAAAAATCCTTAACAGTATGTTAGCACGATGTTCAAAGGATTTGACGCTTGAACTACTTACTTCTTAAATAGTACGATCACAAATCTAGAACCTGAAAGACGACATGATATCACACGGCATGTATCAACCACAATATTTGATAGATGAGACACTTCAAATAATAACAATAAACGTATAAACAACAGAGAACTATACACAAGTGACAGAACTCTAATACTGACCTGGTTGTCTTGAACATCAAGACAATAGTTTCGATTCTCAATTTCTCTCTGTAATAACAAGAGCTCACCCTGTGCAGCCATTTGGAAGAATGTCAGATCTTTGGATTCTGTTGGGGCGAGTGTTTGGACATTCCTCCGTTGTACGTTGGTCAGTAAAGTAGAAATTTTGTTGGGTGATCGACCACAAGGTCTATTGAATTCAGCTTTCGATAAAAAATCAGGTGGGGGTACAACTGACCGAAATGGCATTTCTGATTAAGCCATTAGAATATGCTATACATTTCAAACGAACAAAAGACAGAGATTTAGCCACTTTGATTTAAATACTAATACATAATGAGTACTACGACTTAACCAAGTCATAAGGATTAGTTTGACACACTATAAATCTAAATGGTTAATAGTCAAATGTTTAACATGGGGCCTCGTAGTTCTCAGGTTGTGAGCACTTTTGAAGTCTCGAACTTGGAAAGAATAGTAACCTCATGTTCCTTGTGTTGAAGCCGAAACTTCTGCATTCTACTTTGGCTTAAGTAAGCAGGTAGTATTTAAGCATGTACACGAGATGTGGCCACGATATATATATATATATATATATATATATATATATATATATATATATATATATATATATATGCCGGGTCGCTGAGTTGCAAACACTAACAAGGTCCCATTTAATATCCTCAAAATTATCAACAACCAATAAAGTATGCAAGTCTTCACACTTTTGGCACCACTTACCTTAACTTTAGGTTGGTTTATATTAAGATGGCCATGTAAATTAGCACAACAGGAAATCTTGCTTCACTGCAGTTTTTGGAAATCATGGTGCCTACTAAGATAAGGCGAAGAAAGTAGAAAACATAGAATTCAGTGACCGCTCTTACAGTCATTTCATTGCGAAATACATGTCCATATTACACATTTATATAAACCCGATAAATGTTATCCCCCTTGGAGACCTACATCGAGGACAATATAAACTCTTCGGACCAAAAAATACCACCACAAAATTACTAAATTAAATAATATCGTGATAGTGCGTTCGAATATATTATATTGCAGCCACAGGATATAGTCTGGCGTGATAGTGTACCCACCTATGGTGTCACATTTGCCATCGAACAGAAGCTGGTGGAACAAAATGAAAAAAGTGGTGTCTTCAGTGTCTAGATAAATGAAGGTAAGTAAACCAAAGTAGTAAGAACATGTGATAACACGGAGTTTTTTATTTAGGGGAAAACCATATTTGGAAGCACACTTTTTCAGTGAAATATCGAGCCATGCGACTGATGTTTATCGTCAAGCGGTCCCAAACCACTGGGTCAACACTTTAATGCACCAATCGTCAGAGATGTCGTAGATAAGAATCATGTCTCGATTTATGCTTTAACCATCATACTCCTTATAAAACAAACGGCGGGTAGACATGCGTAACATGTATCATAGTTTATGACAGCCCATCATTTGATTTACCTCTACCCAGTAATCTACATCCTAAATAGGACTTTTCACACGATCTCACAACATTATAAAAATGCATTACTTCATCACTTCTTCATGTAAATAAATATGTGGTGAGTCAAGCTAAGTAGCAACTGGGGTATGATAGATAGCCAATTCAAACAAAGCCAATATCCAATATTGATAGTGCGAGCGTAGAAAACTAGTAGTTTTTGATCTCTCGCGTCTAGTTCTTAGGGCTTGGTTCCAGTTGTTCGGTTCACTCCTGCAGTGGACGAGGAAATCCCCTCTGCTTTCTTGCTTTTAGCTTCGGTGAGGTGGATGTTTTGTGGGTTAGTAGGTTGTAATTTGTAGAGTGATTAGGGAGCTACGGGCTGCTGGGAAGTTTAGAGAACAACCGTGACTCCTGTCTGTGTAGGTACCTGAAAGAGAATATTAAGGTAGTGGTAAAGGAATGAAGAGAGAAGTAAGGAAGAGTAAAAAAAAATAAATAAATAAAATAAAATAAAAATAAAAAAAATAAATAAATAAAATTAAAAATAAAAATAATAGTAATAATAATGTAGGGAAGAGGAAAGGGAAGGAGAATAAAAGAAGGGGTGAAGAGAGAAATGAGAACGAAAGAAAAGTATTTGGGAATTGCGCGAATGGTCGCGTGGGTTTGGTTCCTACAGAAGAATTAGTAGGTAATGTGGGTGTATTAAGGAGAGAGATAGTGAGTGGTAGTTAGGAGGGAGTTGGGGGCTACTGAGGTTGGTGACTACCTGAGTACGTCCGTGGTAGTCCATGCGAGGTGACATAACTGTCTAATCGCCTCTTGAAAGAGTCGATTGAAGGAGCTATAACGATGTGTCGCGGTAAGGCATTCCATAAAGCACATACTCTCAGGGAGAAAAATTTGGACCTGAGTGTGGTGTTGGCTCTCTGGTGTGCTATCTTAAAGGGGTTTCCTCGTGAAGATCGTTCAGTTGCAGGCAAAATTGATTTGTTTGCATGGTCTGCCTGATGGGCGATCTTGTATGTCATAATGAGGTCACCCCTTTTCCTGCGATAACCCAAGGTAAATAGGTTGAGGTGTTTAAGTCTTTCAGGATACGTCTTTCCCCTTAGCCCCACAACTGATTTTGTTGCAGTTCTTTGTATTCTTTCAAGGAGATTAGAGTCTCTCTTGAGTGTTGGAGGAGCCACCGTATTGAAGACCTCTAGGTGCGGCCGCACGTAGGATTTGAAAATGGTAAGGAAGAGTGAGGGCGCCAAGCTGTCTACGCAGAAAGTGTAGAATGGCGTTCGCTCTGGTTGTCATACCTTTGTAGTTGGAGCTGGTGTCCAAGGTGTCGGAGAAGTTGAGCCCCAAATCTTTCTCCATGGACACTCTGGTGATAGCACGGTTGCTCAACATGTACTGGAAGTCGGTCGTACTTGCCTCATTTTTACTGATGTGCATTACTTTGCACTTTTCCAAGTTGAAGCTCAGACCATTTTCCGACGACCAGAGCTCGAGTTGCTGCAAGTCCTTTTGTAGTGCTGCACAGTCGGCTTCTTCGTTTACCACCCTCCAAATTTTTATGTCGTCAGCGAAGAGGAGGATGGCGAAGAGCGAAGCCATATGTTATTGGTGTCAAGATATTCATTCCATCTTAACTTCGCATTCTGAATTCAGATTTTGTGATGTCTTACCTGTCAACATTTCAGGAATGAGGTCATGAAAGAAAAGTCTATTTTTTTAAAGATACGCAAAAACAAACCACCTGAGATAATTTGTACCTCTGAATAACAATAAAAAGCTGCTTGAAAAATTGTCAGACACTTAGAACGATATATAACGTGCAAAACGACTACAATTCGATCATACTTCTACTCATAAAGGACTGAAAGACTAAATAAATTTGATTATAGGGACTGGAGGACATCAAACAAATTACTATTATAATTTGTCCTTTGGGTTCCCAGTGGAACATAGGGTTTCAGTAGCACATCTCCACTTCACTTTGTTTTCTGCAGTCTTTTGAACCTGGCTCCACGACTGCACACAAGCTTTCATTTCTTCCTCACACGATCTCCACGTCACCCTCGGACGCCCAACTTGTCGTTTCCCCTTTGCACTCCACTCGGGGGGTCTGGCGCGTGGTGTCCCTGGATGGTCTTCTCAGTGTATTCCCAATCCAATGCATCTCCATTTTCTTCCGCATATTTCTTGGCCGATGGGTTCTTGGCTGGTTCATCCCTAGAGTTCTTTGTTGCTTATTTTTTCTGGCCATCTGATATTCAGTATCAAGTGAGCATAGGGGCAGCTCTTGATGAATGCCTGTAGTTTGTTGGAAACGCTTTTCGTGACACGCCAAGTTTCTCAACCATATAGAAGCACTGTCTTGACATTAGTGTTGAAAATCCGGATCTTGTTCTTTGTGCTGAGTGAAGTGCAGTGCAATAGATATCCACACTGATTTCAAACTAATGAAAGCCTGTCTTGCTTTTCCTATCCTGGTTTTGACATCCTCATTTGTGCCTGTGCCGCCTGTAGTTGAAACGATGCCTAGGTAGGTGAAAGACGCTGATTCCTTTAGGTTTCTTCCGTTCATGTTAACTGATGCTTGTTGTTGGTTAGGTATCTTCATCATCTCCGTCGTCTCTACGTTCACCTGAAGGAATTCCCGTTTTCGCTGTCCTGCCTCTTCTGCCAACTTGTCAGCTTTCATCTGTAGATCTGCGAGCTTGTGCAACATTACACATAAATCATTGTTAATGAAATCCAAATCTTCTAGGATCTTTTCATCGGTCAAACAGCGTATGCCCATTTTCTCGCTCCTCACGGTTTGCTGCATGATCTAGTCCAGCCGACCACAATCAAGAAGATCATCGGTGATGATAGTCAGAAGCCTTATCTTACTCTTTAAAGACATCACTCAGCTTTCCATTGTGAATCACTCAGCATGGAGCGTCTTCATATAGCTGTTGAATGAGGTTAGTAAAGGTTTGTGATACTCCGTAGTGTTGAAGCAACTGTCAAATTACTCGGTCGAAGCTGTCGAAGGTTTTTTGAAAGTCGATGAAGCTGAGGTAGCAAGTTGACTGCCGTTCTATGCTCTGTTCAACGATGATGAGTAGCGTAGCGTGGCAATTTGATTCACACATGATTTGTCTATCCTGTAGCCAACCAGCCTGTTTCCGGTGGTAATTTGAATCCAGAGTATCTCTCAGTCTCTCCAGGAAGATGCGGCATAATATTTTATTTGAAGTGGACAAAAGCATGATTCCGCCCCAGTTCTTGCAAAGATTTAGGTCGCCCTCCTTTGGCAGTTTGACAAGGTAACTCTTCTTCCAATCAATCAGCAGGTACCTTTTCTTCCTTGCTTGCAAACCATCACAAAAGTGGTGTGAGCATGTCCGCCGTTGTCTCTGTCTGTTCTCAGTGCTTCTGGTGGGATTCCATCTAGTCCTGCTGCTTTCCCGCATTTGAGTAGCCTTATGGCGTTCACGACTTCAACTTTCGTCGAAGGGCTTGTGTTCACTTGCAGTTCTGTGGCTGCAGGTGGTATTTCTAGACGAAGCATAGGTGGTGGTCGATTCAACAGCTTTTGAAGCTGTCAGCCCACCGTTTCCTTTGTTTCTCATCTTTAGTAACCGAGTTTCCTTCACTATCCTTTATTGGTTTCATGTGTGTTGATCTCTTCCCAGATAGTAACCTGGTTATTTGATATAGTGTTGTCAGGTCTCTCCTACCTGCAGTCTGTTCTACTTCACTTGCCAGTGTGTCGCAGAAGTGTCTTTTGTCTTTGCACCCACTCCTCTTCACTTCTTTGTCCAAGTTTTATAGTTTGTGTTCAGTTCCTCTTTTCGTTGTTCATCTCTGCACTGCACTGCTCTATCTGCTTCACCACCTTCCTCTCCCTTCTCTATCAGCTTCCGTGTGTCCGTAGAGACCCATTCTTTGCCTTGTTTCTTCTCCCCTTCTAACACGGTTACGCAGGTTTCCTTCTACATCTCTTTCAAAGAGTTTCAGTATTTTTCCATGGTGGTTTCTTCAAGGATGTTGCTCAATATCTCCCATTTTGTCCTGATGACTGACGTGATGTCCCTTGTAGTTTCGTCCTTCAGTCTCTGTTCTGGAAGTTGAACTTGAACTGTGGTCTATCATCACCAGCTTCTTTGAAAGCTTTCAACTTGATTTTGAAGGTAAGTTCCTTGGACTAGATAGTGAGTGGTGTGAACCTACATCTGCTCCTCTTGTTCATCTTGTTTGCGTCCAGTAAGCTACTTTCTTGTGATTGAAATGAAGTCGATCTGATTTTTAGTGTAGTGTCCTGATATCTGGTGAAATCCATGTCACTTTGTGAATATCCTTGTGTTTGTACACACTGCCTCCAACCACTAAGTCATTGAATGCACAGAAGTCTGCAAAGAGTTCTCCATTCTGATTCACCATCTCACCGAGTGCCTTTCGACCCATAGTTAGTTCTCTCCCTGTGTTGCCTGCTCCTAGTTTGGCATTCATGTCACCTGTTAGAATGGATTTTGATGTTGCCATCTGGAATGCGGTCTTGTCCATTAGTGATTGAAGTTGTCTTTAGAATTCCTCCTTCTTCTCTTGATCCGCATTATTTGCAGGTGCTTAGCGTAGCGTGGCATTGTGTGATCGTGACTTTCCTTCCTTTTGATTTGAATCTTGCTGTCATGATCTTGATCCTGGAGGAGACTGGTTCCCACTGCATGAGAGCCTACGATGCGGTTGTGGACATCATGATAGCCACTGGAAAACTCAGTGTGCTTGTGACTGTCGTCTGGTTGACAATATTGGAGTAGATTACTGACTCCTCTCCAGTTGAAAGTTTGGAGAATCCACTTCCGTTTCATCTGCTTTTGCAGATTCCAAGCACTACTTCTATGCTATATCTTCTCATCTCCTTCTCGATCTGGGCAGCCTTGGTAGGTTCGTACATGGTGCGGACATTCCATGTCCCCATCCTTACTTTCGCTCTCGTCGAGAGGGAGAGGAGACACATCGGCTAGTTGGCTTTCACCAACTTGTTCCATTTTGCCTCTGTGATTCCAGCATGGATTAAGTTTGATTGTATATTTTCTTTGTTCTTTGAAGTTTCTTTAGTGGTTAGGTTGGTTTTACGGGGTAGGGTTGCCCAACCTTACCTCTTTATCCCGCTTAGGATCGGCCAGTGAACTAGTCACCTAGGCGAGGTTATCAAACAAATTACAACATAAGAATTCAAACTTAATGTATACGTGAAGAAATGTTGAATGAACTATATTTAACAGATATATCTGTCAAATATCATTCGCCCAAAATCTCTGTCTGGGTAATTCTGAGGAAGCTGGACAAATGTTCTTAATTCTGCCTACCCTGGTGAAAATCGCATAGTTCTGAAGTTGGGACTGTGAAACTAAACAGCCTTGTAATTTGTCGGATGCATGCGAGAGAATGTCCTAGAACTTACTACAAAGACCCTACACTACTCTTCTCACTAC